AAGACAGAGCAGAGGCGTGTAACAGCACCAAAAGAAGGAAGTTCAAGAGGCTGAAAGAGTGAGGCCTAGAAGGAGGGAATGAGGCAGGGAGATGACACCACAGAGCACCTGCCCAGTTATGGCTTCAGGCTGGAGGCAGGCTGACAAGAGCAGCCTTGTTCATGAGCCTCTGAGGACTAGAGGTCATCCACGTGGACCCCCACAGCTATCTCTGGGACACAGCATGTTTGAGCCGCCCTTTACACAGCTGTGGCACACAGGGAACAGCAGATATGGGTGCATCCATAACTACATCCTGACAGTATTCATCAAGACAGGCTCATCTGCACTGGTGGTGCACGCCTGTAATCACAGCCTTCTGGAAAGGAAGGAAAACCTCAAGTTCAAGACTACACACCAAGACTGTCAAAAAAAAAAAAAAAGAAAGAAAGAAAAGAAAAGAAAAAAGAAGAGGGGGCTTTGGTTTTGATTTTTATTTATTGAGACCGGGTTTCTCATTTTTTTTAAAAAAAGATTAATGTTTCTTGGACTAGGGGTATGGCTGTCCTGGAACTCACTCTATAGACAGGATGGCCTCGACTCAGAGATCTGCTTGCCTCTGTTTCCCGAGGGCTGAGATTAAAGTAAAGAGATGTGTGACAGCTATTCTTGGTTGTCAACTTGACTACATCTGGAACTAACTATAGCCCCCAAGCAGCTGGATACACCTGTGAGGGATTTTTTCTTAATTAAATCATTTGAGTGGGACAGTACACCTTTAATCTGAGTATATAAAGAAGACCGAAGGAGGAAGGTCACTCTGCCTGATTATTTTCACTGGCAAGTTCATTTCTTCACTGGCATTAGAACCTACTTTGGGATTCTGGCATATACTGGAGTCCAGCCCTATGAACTGAACTACTACTAGATTTTTGAAACTTTTGTGGGATACATTTTTTCTGTCAGTTTGTCTTGAGAACCCTGACTAATACAGGCTTTTTCCTTGTGTCTGGACTATTTCTAGGCCCTTGCTAACGAGTCTCCTTGTCTCGACTCTGGGTGAGCAAGGTGGGGATGAGGCAGAAAGGTAATTGCTTTGAAAGAGAGAAGAGCCTATGGCATCTGCTGAAGATCAGGACATATGGGGGCTGCCCTGGGGAAGAAAGGAAGCCAAGGCATCTTTTCAGTAAGTCCCAGCTACTCCCTTTCCTGAGTTAGTAGGGGTGACAGGGAAGGAATCATTATCAAAGGAGAAACCCAAACATCCCTTCCCCTGCCTCCACTGCTGATGGACCAAGTGGTGTCCTGTGAGTAAAAGCTCACGGTTGCTGCTGACAGGTTCCAAGAACAACTGATGTGGCCAGCGGGCACAACCACATGCCTCTACTCTAGGATCTGACATGTCCCAGGACTACATCGGGCCTGGGTAGAAGCTGCTGGATTTTCATCAGATCTTTTCACAATGGCAATGAGTTTCTCTTCGAGGAAACAACGTGTGGTAAGGTGTATTTTCTGGGAAGTCCATGAATCAAAGAAGTTGCAGTGAGTTTCAACATGTGTTCATCGGTAAGAATCGTCCAATGATGTGGCGGCAACATGGTACAATGAGGGGAATCTATGCTTCGGGCAAGTCTGTCTTCCATCAGTAAAACGACGAGGCTACCTCCCAAGATTATCATACACTCTAGGGGCCCTGCAGGGCAAAGGAAGAGCCCACATTTGTAACTTTCTATTTTTGTGATGCCAGGGATCAAATCTGGTTCCTCACAGGGCTAGTCAGGTGATCTCTCACCCAACTACACTCCCAGAGCCTTCATAGTTTTAAAAGTCTACTACGGAAACTATGGATATAGTTTGGTGAGTAGAATGGGCCTCGCGCATGTAAGGCAAGCCGTTTTTAATACCTAGCGTGGTGTAAATCAGGCATGGTGGTACATGCCTGTAATCATACCAGTTAGAATATAAAGATGGAAGAATTCAAAGTTCATTTGAAGCTATAGAGAATTCAAGGTCAGCATTTTTGAAAAAAAAAATAATGTTTCTTGGACTAGGGTCTGGTTACATTGGTAGAATGCTTGCCTGGCATGCATGAAGCCCTAGGTTAGATTACTCGGTACCACATTGGGAGTTGTGGTTTTATACCTGTAGTCGTGACTTGGGAGGTAGAAGCAGAAACACAGGCGTCCAAGGTTGTCCGTCAGTTACACAGCAAGTTCAAGACCATCAGGGAATATATAGACCTCTATCTATATAGAGGGGAGAGAGTTCATTTCTAATCACCCTGTCTGGGTCTTCCAGACACCCAACTCCTGCTGAAAGACCAGGCAGCATGGGAGTTTACTAAGCCACAGTGGAACTGAACTGTAAACTGCCGCATCCTTTGCGCCCTTGTTGTCCGTAGTATAAACAGCATGCCAGTTACCCTGGCTACGGTACACTCTAAGAAAGGGAGGGTCTAGGTCAAAGCCCTGAAACCTAGGCAGAAACTGGAGAAAGTGGGCATTCTGGCTCACAGAGCATCTGAACCCGGGCTCTGTGAGTGAACGGATGAAGGAATGAGCAAAGGTAACCAGGAGTTACCAGGTAATGTGTAAGATCATCCTGATGTGCTTTACTGAGCGAAAGAAGGAATGGATGAATGAGTCAACATATAAGCAAAGACGACAAAGAAGACACCCATAAAACCAACCTAAGCTGACTGAAAACCAGGAAGTTCTGGAAAAGAGAGACAGAAGGAGTGTAGGAGTTTTTGAGATAATGGATTCTTCTGGTAGGCACACAGGGTGTGGATCTGGACCGGCAGGATTGCAGTGGGACTCTGTGACTTACTGGTCACAGGACCTAGACCAAGTGACTTAACTGCTGTGCAAATAGATCCTTCAACAATGGAGATAAGATTGCTAATTGCTTTACAGTATCCCTGAGGATTAAGAAACTGTGGAACCAAAGCCTGGGGCCCAACATACAGTTAAGTGCTTCAAACTAAGAAGTAAGCAGAAGAAAGTATCGAGTCTAGAAATGAAAAGGAACCACTCAAGTTCCTTGAATTGAGGAATTGGAATGGAATACATTGTTTTGTGGAAAAAAAAATGTTTGGGAGCAGAATCCAGGTTGGGTCCATAGAGCAAAGGTGCAGCTTCTAAGGGTTAAGGGCCTGCCAGGAGCTAGAGCTGCCACTCCCAAGAAAGAAAGCCTGCTCTCCCCACCCCCACATGTCCCTGTGTGGGAGGTGGAGCCTGGCACATGGCATCCTCGGTAATCCTATTAGTGAATGTCAGTAGGCACACAAACAGGACATCTTTTTAGAGCTTACAGGGCCAATGGCATATGCTAGAAAATTCTCTTCAGTCAAGCACAGCAAATTTTTAAGTTCTGGAGAAATCTACTAAGACTTGGCTCATCTCAGTGCCATTCCCGCCCCCACGGTAGACAGAAGACAGATATGACTATGACCTGACATGCACAAAACCCAGGGAAGAATGGCTAGCGCCTCCTTCCATGAAGTGGGATTGAAGAAATGAGGGGGAACCAGGTGGTGGTGGTGCAAACCTTTAGTCCCAGCACTTGGGAGGCAGAAGCAGGTGGATCTCTGTGGGTTCGAGGCCAGCCTGGTCTACAGAGAGAGTTCCAGGACTGCCAAAGCCATTGCACAAAGAAAACCAGGGAAAAAAATTAAGAAAGAACAAGAAACAAGGCTGGATTGGGGCTCACTTCTAAGCTCACACACACATCTGTAAACACAGCATTGGGAGATGGGGACAGAAGGACCAGAAATTTAAGGTCAGCCTCAGCTATAGAGTTGAGGCCAGCCTGGACTACATAGCCTGTGACCTGCCTCAAAACCAAACACAAACAAAACTACTGTTTCCTAGTCCAGTACTCTCATGGAATTTACAGTGCGTGTGAAGGGAAAAAGCTCAGTCATTTGTCAGCCTCTGGCCGTGGTTTCCATCTGAACAATGGGGTCTCAGCTTTGTGCCTTTTTCCTACGTACGTTTTTGAATTGAGATTTGTGAGTAGGGATGGTCTTTGCTGCAAGCGCTAGTCAAGCACTTGAGTTCATATGAACACTAGGTGTACCTGGATCCAGGGGAAAGCCGACAATAGGCATCTTTCTGGTTCTCACTGTTTCCTCCACGAGTCTTCATTCAGGACTACTGGGAAGTCAGTCCCTCAGTGCCCCAGTGCCTGCTCCCCACTGAAAGGCTCAGCACACCCGAGGCTGTCAACAGTGCTGGGGAAAGCCCCAGGATGAAATCTTGGGTTTGGATAACATGGAACTGGCTTTCTTCTGAGTGTAGGGTTGCAGGCAGGGGTGTGAAGCCTTGGCTGGCCCTGTGCTCACCTCTGGAGTGAGAAGTAAGCTCATTCTCCTTAAGTTCCACAGGAGGGAAGGATGGCTTCCCAAGTGGAAGTTTAGTAAGCAGAAGTAGGAGCTGACCCCTACTGGCCACCAACACCAAGAGCATAAGTCTACTGAAAGTTCCAGAAGGCTGATGTCATAGAATATTCTAGGAGGCTTGAATTCCCTTGAGAATCACTCAGCTTCTTTGGTGTTCCAGCAAAGGAACATCTAATGAGCAGACAACTGTGGTACTCAGAGTCCAGCCACCGAGAGCACTGGCCTTTGGCTTTACGGCAACAGACTTCTCTGAAAGCCCGGCTTCTAAGGAAGGTGCTTCCAGGAGCACTTAATGCCCTAAGTGTGTTTGTAGAGCTTTCAAAGGCAGCAGCACGTAAATGCATGCATTTCTAATGGATTCCTGCCATAGCATGGCATCCTGAGAGTGACCTCAGAAAGCCAGCCCTAGAGCAGAGGCCATTTCTCTCCTGGGCTGGGTCTCTGCTGACAATGACAAAGAAAGCCCCGACAACCCTGAAACATCTTCCTACCTTTCAACCTTTTAAAGAAGAACAGAAGGAAAACCAGTACACACGATTTGGAAATAATAAACCCACCAGCTCTTCTGCATTTCTTTTTATAAAATAGGCCAAGGAGAATTTAGTATGTGACACAAGAGTTAGGGAGGCATTAGAATCACATATCTCATACATTTGCTGATAACTACCATGGGTCAGGGGTTATATCAGGCTCTGGAGATGTAGCAACAAGGAAAATATTTTAGCCAGTCAGCACTGGGGAAGTGGAGAGATCAGGAGTTCAAGGCCATCATCTGACATTCTGACGAGTACCGAATCTGAAACCAGCCTGGGAAACATGTGACCCTCGTCTCAAAAGACAGAGAGGCAAATTTCTGTTCAGGGGAACATGGAGATTAAGTGGCAGGACTGAGGCTGAAATCCACAGGCCCATATCTGCCTTTAGCTTGAACTTACTTCTAGCCTGTGGGCGGGAGATGATGGGGAGAGGGGGTGGTAGCGTCCGTCGTGAAGCAGGGAAAAAGCTTTATGGAAAGGAAGCAACGACTCTATTCAAGTAGTAGCAGTTTGTCATGGGGAACATGGCTCGGTGTGGCCAGGCTCTCTGATTTGTTATGGTCTTTTTGAGACAGGTTCTTAACAGGTTAGCCCTAGCTGGCTTGGAACTCAGGATGTAGAGCAGGGTGGCCTCAAACTGTTGATCTTCCTATGCCTGTCTCCCTCTCTCTCAGGGGTTACCATGTCCCACTCAGATTTCTGTTCTCTCTCTCTCTCTCTCTCTCTCTCTCTCTCTCTCTCTCTCTCTCTCTCTCTTGTGTGTGTTTGCCATGTGGAGGTCAGAGGCAGTCCTCCATGGTCGGTCTTCATCTTCCACCTTGTTTGAGATGGGGCTGCAGACGTTCTCCCATGCAGACCAGGTTAGCTGGCCCACGAGCCTCCGTGGCTGCCTCCTGTCTCACTGTAGGCGTGCTGGAACTACAGATGTGTGCTCCTCCATCCATCTTTACACGGGGATGCAAACTCAGGTCTCCGTGCCAGGACCGCTAGCACTTTCTTTACACACCAAGCCATCTCACCAGCTCCCATCTTCTTATTTTCAACAAAACCCCAGCAAGCAACATTTCAATGGAAAAACAAACAACAAACAAACAAAAACAAAGCAAAATCAAGTTTCAAAATACTGTGATAGTCAAACAAAATCTGCTGGGTGTAATCTGGACACAGATCTCTTCCTCTGTTTGAGGTCGCACTGTGCCCACTGGGTCCCTGGGAGGTAGAATTCCAGACTGCAACCCCAAAGCTGGCTATGAGAAGAAGCCTGCAACTCTGGAATGCTCACATCTCTTAGGTTGGGTTTTTTTTTTTTTTTTTAAGACTAAGGTAAGAAAGTTGAGTCCTTATTTACCCAAGAAGCAAAGGGCTTTGAGAAGGCACAGGAAGGAAATAGCTGGAGCCCTTCTAGTCCCGTGTTGTGGAGGAGGTTGGCATAGTATCGTCGTCTTACACAGGGCTGGCAGGCCACACTTCTCTGAAAAGGAAAATTTAACTTTAGGGCGGGCTTCATGTTATATCTGAGGCTCTAATAATAATCATTACGCTGTCAGCATGCAAGGCTTGATTCAAAATAATTCTTCTCATGCAAGTCACAATCTACCCACTTCTTGGTCCTTCCATGTCGCCTCTGCCTGGGACCTCCTACACTCAGCAAGGTTTTCATTCTCGCTGGCCCATTTGCCAAGAGATGGTAGCCACAGGTAAACATATGGAGGGCGTATCCACTGTGGTTTGTAGCCGAAATTGGTCTCTGGTAGTGGCAGTGTCTCTTCCTTTCCTGGCCACCAGCAAAATAGCACCAGCTGGGCATGATGGTGAATACCCGTAATCCCAGAACAGTGGGAGGCTAATGCAGAAGGATCAGGAGTTCAAGGCCAACCTTGGTTATATAGAGAGTTTAAGGCCAGTCTTGACTATATATGAAGGCCAACTCTGACTTCATGAGGAGACCCCATTTCAACAAAACAAAACAAAAAACACACCCTAGGCTGGAGAGGTGGCTCAGGGTTTAAGAATACTGGACGCTCTTGAAGAAACGTGCTCAGCTGCCAGCGTCCACACAGTAACTCACAGCTGCCGTAACTCCAGTTCCAGAGAATCTGACGCCCTCTTCTATTCTCTGAGGCTTCTGCATGCACATAATGAACATACGTGTGTGTGTGTGTGTGTGTGTGTGCATATGTATGGTGATCTGAGTCTGTAATCACAGCTTTATAGAAGCTGAGACAGGAGAATTACCTACCAAGCATTTAAGGCCAGTCTAGGCTACATAGTTCCAGGTCAGCCTGAGCTACAAACCCTGTCTCAAACAAGCAAACAGACAGACAGACAGACAAAACAACAACCCAAAAGCATTCTCCATCAACAGATTATAACTCTTCAAGAAAATATTCATAGTTAAAATATGTAAAGGAATCCCCATCCTTGGATCTTAACAAGATCAAAAACCTCTGTTTACTACAAGAATTGTTTCAAAAGGAAATGAGATCTGGCACAAGAAAAAAAAAATCTCATTTCTATCAGCTCTCAAGATAGTAACTTCACAACCATCTGCCATGTGTGTTTCATGAGAGCAAAACAGCCCTGCGGAGCAAGGGGGACAGATTTGCTGTAGCTGCTGCTGCTGCTGCCTCCACCACCTCCTTCTGTTGCTTGGATAAGGCGAGGACATGTGGTGCTGCTGTGAGATTCTTAGAAGATCCAGGCAAGTGCTGCCGGCTGGAACCTCTACCTCTGTTTGCACTGTGAGGCTCCAAATTCCTCTTCCTCTGGGTCTGAGATCCTTCTCGTAGGAAGCCGCTCAAACCACACACAAGGAGGACTTGGATACCTTCTAGGGGGCAGGGACACAGCTTATACCCACACCCACCCTTCTTGTGAAAATCTTTCATGATTACCAGGTGGCTTCTCTTATTTTGGGGGAGGTGGCGTGGTGCTACATAGGGCTCAGGGTGTGTGTGTGTGGCGGGGGTGAAGGCTCCTACATCCTTTCTTTGGGACTTAGAACCATTAGCTGAATCTTTCTGAATCTTGATTTCCTTACCTGTTAACTGGGAATGACAAGAGTATCATCAACCTAGAAGGTTCAGGCTCAACCACCGTGTGGAGCCTCAGTAGGGCAAAAGTGTGGTCCAGAAGGCTCCGTTCCCAGGTGCTTGTTCTTCAGCTTACTGTAGTCCCCATCTCAACCCCAGGAACCTGCTGACTGGTCCATCCACACCCTTACAAGTTAAAACGTTATTCCCCTTAATTGCTGTGTCTTGGTTTGTTTTTGAGACAGGCCGTCATGTATCTAGGCTGATCTAAACTCTCTAAGTAGCCAAGAATGACCCTGAACTGCTAATCCTTCTGCTTCACACACCCCCCCCCCCACCAAGTGCTATTATTACAAGAATGTAATACAGTTTCCGCAGCACTGGGAATCAAATCCCTGAAGGATGATCAGGAACCGCTGTGATGCACAAGGCCAGGACCAATCAATCACAATTCTTCACCAGCTTTGTCTTTGTTCGCATCACACCCAGAGCCTTATGGGAGCTGCTGGCTTTACCTGGCTCTCTGGACCATTTCAGCCTCAACCCAGATGAGAGTGTGCCCATTCTGCCTCCCGTTCCAGGAGCCTGGAGAGGCTCCATGGGCAGCCACAAGCTGTGGAGTCCCCTGTATCAGAGAGAGCGTGAACCACCACACCTGTTGGCTCACTTTCTTCTTCCTGAGGTAGATCTTATGTTCGATAAGTTGCACCCCTTTTAAGGTAGGCAGTTAAATAAATTTTGACAGATCCCCCATATCCATCTTACCATGTGCGTGAAGAATATTCCCATAGCCTGTCAAACGTTCCTGCATGTTTTTTTTTATGTATACAGATTCTTGAGTTTCATACTAGACCCAAAGCTTCTAAATCCAGCATTTGGAGCCTCTGGGTCTTGCCGTGTGATGGGCAGCTGTTCTCAGGAGCAGATGTCCACTGAAGCTGGAACTTATGTCCTCTGGCTCCTCAAACTCCACAGATCTTCCTCAGCCTAGGTGGGCAAGTGACCGAGTTTGACCCTTCTCCAGGACCCGGCCCCACTCCTCCCCACAACAGCTCACTCTACACCCTGGTTCCTGCTGTCTGCCTGCCTAGGCTGGAGATCCTGCTTGAAGGATAGCATCACTCTGATATTCCCAGATGTGGAGTTCTTCAGGGGGTTTCATGCCCTGCAGGATCGAGGCTGAGGGAAGTTTGGAGCCTCCCATCTCCCACAGGAAGCCCTTCAATAATACTTAAAACTTACAGCTGTCCCAGGCGGCCTCATGCCTGTAGGCACCTTAGACAGTACACCCCACCAGATTAACCCATCCTCTCGGCCACCCTCCTGTTCTTGAGAAATGTCACTCTGTGAAGGCTTCCCAGATGTACCAAGTAGCACTGGCCACTCTCTGCTGTCATCATGACTCTTCTATGTGCCCAAGTGTTTCTGCTCACTAGACTCTGAGAGATTTACAGTCTCAAATTCTTAAGTCTTTATCAGGGCTGGGAAGTTCCTGCAGGATCTGGCTTCTGTTCCCTCTCCGCCCATCCTGACCTGGTCAGTTGCCATGGCCTCAGACTGGGCCTAGACTCATCAAACTCCTTCCTGGTCCCAGGCCTTTGTTCTTTAATGCTCTTTGCCTGGAATGTCCTCTACCTTGTTTTTGCATGGGTGGTTCCCTCTTTCCACCCACTGCTCAGATGTCACCCCTTTGAGAAGTTTTCCCTGGCCAGCCAATCAAAATAGTCCTTTCTTCATCATTCTCTCTGACAACACCACATTTCCTTCCTGCTAGGACTTATCACATGATACTTCTATTCATTAATTCAGTAGTATTATTATTGTTTTGTTGTTTGGTTTGCTAAGATTGGGTCTCCTACAGGAGACCTCTGTCACCTTTTCCTGGTTTGTTTTGTTTTAGAACTTTGATTGGAACATACTCTTCCGTCTGGTGTCTCTGAGCTCGTGTGCTTTTGAGGTTCAATCATTGCATTGCTTGCTTTCTGTTTCTGTAATAAAACCCTGACCAGTACCTGAGGGGAGGAAGGGTTGATATGTCTTACATTCCCATGGCACAGTCCAGCATTAAGGGAAGTCAGAGGAGGAACTCAAGAGGAGCCTGGAGACAGAAACTTAGGCAAGGGCGTGGAGCGGTGCTGCCTACTGACTTGGACCACACGGCTAGCTCAGTCTGCTTTTTACACAACCCAGGCGCACCTGCCTAGGGGTGACACCACCCACAGTGGGCTGTGCCCTCCCACATCAATCAGTAATTGAGGGAAAAAGCAATCTAGAGACATGCCCACAAGCCAATCTGATAGGGGCAATTTCTCTGTGGAGGTTCCCTCTCCACAGGCAACTCCAGCTTGTATCAATTTGACAAAAACTAATCAGTGCGCTCATGTTGTGCGTTCCCCGGTCTATTGTCCTTTTTATTACCGAATGATAAGCCATTGTAGGAATCTACTGTAATTTATTCACCCACTGACGGATACCTGGGCCATTTCCAGTCTTGGATGTTCTGAGCAAAGCTGCTCTGACAATCCCTGTCTTTGTATGAACAGCTATTTTCTCTCTGTCTTTTAGTGCATACTGGCTATGGAGCTTGCTGGGCTCACGGTCAGAGTATGGTCAGTTTCATAAGGGATTCTGACTCTTTTCCAAAGTAATTGTTCTAGTTCACACTCTTGTTAGCAACCTGCTAGCCTTCTTTAAAACTTTAGTATTTACTTTTAACTTGGTATGCGTACACATATGGTGTATCTGTGTGGGTATGTGTACTTGAGTGCAGGTGCCCTCACAGGCTGGAGGCATTGGATTCCCTGGAGCTGAAGTTCCAGGTAGCTGTAAGCTACCTTAAGAGTAGTGTGCTGGGAACTGAATTTGGTCTTCTGGAGGAGGAGCAAGTGCTCATAACCACTGGGCTATCTCTCCACACACTAAGCTAGAGTTTAATTGCTCCATATTCTTACCAAACACACATTATTTCCAGTTCTTTTTTTCTTAAAGTATTGTTATTGTTTGTTTTCTTTGAGACAGGATCTCACTGTGTAGCCCTGGCTGGCCTAGAACTCATAATGTAGACCAGCTTGGCTTTGAATTCATAGAGATTCCCCTGCCTCTGCCTCCTGATGGCTGGGATTACAGACACATGCATTTCGAAAGACTGGCATTTCCACTCTTTCAAAGTTTAGCTATTCTAGCCAAGTGTGGTGGTGCATGCGTTTAAACCCCAGTATTTAGGAGGCAGAGGCAGGGGAATCTCTGAGAGTTCCAGGTCAGCTAGGGCTGTATAATGAAACCCTGCCAAAAAAAAAAAAAAAAAAAAAAAAAACTTACCTAATTGTCTAATTGACACTTGGTATTGCATCATTATCTCATTGGGAGTTTAATGTACAAGTCTCTAATGGCCAATGATGTTGAGAAACTTTCCATGTGTAGATGTAGTTTTGAGGCATTTGTTAAACTATTTCCTTCATATTTTAATTTGACTGTCTTAGTACTCTGAGTTTTAAGATTTCTTACTAAATAAAAATCTTTTGTGAAAACAATATTTAGGGCTGAAGAGATGGCTCAGCGGTTACAACTGCTCAGTGCATAAAGATGAAGACTAATTCTGATCCCAGGACCCACATAAAACTCTCTGGTCCCTCACATACCTGGGATTCCAGCATTGCAAGGGGCAGAGCAGAGGCTAGAAGATCCCTGGCTGCCCGACTAGCCAAAAAAAAAAAAAAAAAAACAAAAACCCAAAAAACAAAAAGAAAAAACAACAACAAAACCCAACAACAACCAACCAGAGATCCAAACTACCTCAGAGGATCTCTGCTACTTCAAGGCCAGCCTAAGCTATATAGCGAGACCATGTCTCAAAAATCAATAAGTTTAATAAACAGGAAATTTTTTAAATGAGGAACCCTGCCATAAAGTCTGCTTTGGGCCTTTACACGTTCGCACTTGTACGTGCACTCGTCCTCACACTCACATATATGCAGAGAGATAGTGGAAAGTTGTTTCTGGCGTATGACCTCTGTGTTCATTTCTCTGTCTTTCCCTCTCGGCTGAGGCTCAAACACAGGGCTCACACACACTACACAGTGGGTACTGAGCCCGGGGCCCACACTACTCCTTCAGAAAACAATCAGTAGCTGGGTCCGTTTTAGTCAGGATTGAATTGCAATGCTTTCCATATGGATATTCAGTAATTCCTTTTAAACCGTATTTATTACTGTGTGTGTGATGTGTGTGTATGATGTCTTCCATGTATATGATGAGTATGTAGTATTTGGTGTGTGTGTGCATGCGTACGTGTGTGTGTTGTAGTAGTAGTAGTAGTGTGTGTGTGTAGGTGCCAAGGTACTCCTGTGAAAGTCAGAGGACAACCCCATGGCATCATTTCTCACCTGCCATCTTTACGTGAGTTAGGGATCAAACTTAGGCCTTCAGGTTTGTTTAGTAAGTTCTTTATCCATGGAACTATCTCGTCGGGCCAGATAGTCAATGATTCTACCACTATCTGTTAAAAAGTCAGTACCTGATGGGGCCTGGTGGCTCAGATCTTTAATCCCAGCACTTGGGAGGTAGGGGCAGGAGAATCTCTGTGAGTCCAAGGCCAATTGGTTTATAGTTCCAGGCCAGCCAGGAAGCCAGGATTACACAGCAAGATCAACTCATAAAACCAAAAAAAAAAAAAAGAAAAGAAAAAAAAAAGGAAACTCAATACGTGGGAAGACCTAAGGAGAGGAGGTGGAAAATAAAGGGGTAGATATAATCAAGATACATCGTATACATGAATACATTTTCAGAGAATCAATTAAAAATGTTATTTTTTGAAGTACCATTTCACCTATAATTATTCAAATTTTGCATCTTTAAAATGTTACTGATCTCTCTGTGGTTCCATGTTTGTTCTAGTCTAGCCTAGGCCCTCCTCTATCTCAGCCACTTCCTTGTAGGCAAAGAAATCAAGGAAAGGCTTGCTCGATGCCTTTAAGATACAGAAGTTAGGGTCCTAGAGAGTGAAATGATCACGGCCGTGGGGCGAGTGGGTCTTGGTCCAGGGGCAGCACAGTGCCGAGCAGCACAGAGTGGGCCTCCGAGTGTCCAGTGAGCATCAGAGCGAGGGTGGTGTTTCCATGGCTTCCAGGCTGCACGGCAGGAACCCAGAGTGGGTGTGAGAAAGGATGCAAACCCTAAATGGGGCTGCCAGGCCAAGGAGCTCTGCGACAGGGAGGCACCGGATGACAGGAGGGTCACAAACACTAATTTTTTTTGTGTGTGTGTGTGCCACATCTCATCTTATACACTGGAGAGCCTTGTTAGAAAGCTAAGCTCATCCTTAAAGCGGGGGTGGGGGCAACAAAGAGCAAGTCCAGTAATTGTTACCAAGTCAGATGTGTGACGGACAATTGTAACCTCAGTACGCGGTACACTGAGGCAGGAAAATGTGCAGTTTGGGGTTAGCTTGGGCTATGTATGAGTTTCAGGCCAGTCTGAGCTACATAGCAAGACCCTGTATCAACAACAACACAAGCAAGATTGTAACACACCAATCTTATGCCTATTTATTGCCTCAAGGGATGTGAAGTTCATGTTCACGCAAAACCTAAACACAAATGTAAAAGTTCAGGGAGATGGCTCAGTAGTTAAGAGTGCTTGAAGCTCTTTCAGAGGACCCTAGTTCAGTTCCCAGCACCCAAATCACAAAGCTTAAAGTTCCGAAAGTTTAGAAATGAAACAGCCAGGTAGTGGTGGTGCATGCCTTTAATCCCAGAATTTAGGAGGCAGAGGCAGGTGGATCTCTGAGTAGCAGGCCAACCTGGACTACAGAGTGAGTTCCAGGACAGTTCCTGGGCTATACAGAGAAATCCTATCTGCAAAAAAACAAAAAGAAAGAAGGAAAAAAAGAAAATCCCACCAGGTGAGAAAAAAAAAAAACAATAAAAGACGTTTTAAAGATTTATATTGCCTTTTTATTTATTTGTGTGTGTGTGTGTGTGTGTGTGTGTGTGTGTGTGTATGTGCATGTGCCTGCAGGTGCCCTAGGAAGCCAGAAGAGGCTGTCAATTCTCTGGGACTGGAGTTACAGGCAGCTGTCAATTTTCTGATGTGAGTGCTAGGAACTGAACCCAGGCCCTCTGCGAAAGCAGCCAGCTCTTTTTTGTTGTTGTTTTGGTTGGTTTTTGAGACAGGGTTTCTCTGTGTAACAACCCTAGCTGTCCTGGAACTAGCTCTGTAGACCAGGCTGGCTTTGAACTCACAGAGATTCACCTACCTCTGCCTCCCGAGTGCTGGGATTAAAGGTGTGCACCACTACTGCCTAAAGCAATCACAGAGCCATCTCTCTAGCCCTTATAAATTACTTTCAAATGGTTCAGTAAATGTATGTCTATATAGAAAGATGTCATTTAAAAATATGACAAAATGTCGTTACTGAATCTAGGTGGTAGACCTACAGGTTCATTGTATTAGTCTCTTAACTCTATATTAGAAAATGTTCATAATAAAAAAAAAAAGTTGGGGGCTGGAGAGATGGCTCAGTGGTTAAGAGCATTGCCTGCTCTTCCAAAGGTCCTGAGTTCAATTCCCAGCAACCACATGGTGGCTCACAACCATCTGTAATGAGGTCTGGTGCCCTCTTCTGGCCTGCAGGCAAACAAGCAGACAGAATAATGTATACATAATAAATAAATAAAAAAAAATTAAAAACAGCACAAAAAAAATAAAAATAAAAAAAAAGTTGAAGGGAAAAAATGAAGGCCAATTGTATATCATTGGATATGCACATTAACGAAGATGAATCCCCATAGCACTGTGGCAAGGCAGAACGCTGGGGACAAAAGCCTGCTGAGGGTGGGGAGATACAGCTCAGTGACAATGTGTGACCCTTGCCTAGCAGGCACGAGGGCCAAGCTCACAGAAAGCTTTGCACTGGGGCCAGCGAGGCCCAGACGACAAAAGCACCTGCCACACAAGCCTGGAACCCTCTGTGGAAAAGGCAAACTGGCTCCCAAAGAGCTGTCCTCTACAGACCTCTACAGGTCTGCCACACCACACATTCTCTCCCCCCCTCTCTCTCCTCCCCCTCTCTATTTCTCTCACACACATAACACTGTTTTTAAAAGGGCTACTCACTGGGAGATTATTCAGCTGGAAGGAGAAGCTCCAAGAAGAGAACGGGAGCAGTGGTGGTCAGTGGTTAGGGCTGAAGGCGAGATTAGTGCCAGGGCACAGAGGGAAACCGTGATGGTGGTTACATGGCTGCATCTGTCAACACTCATAGGACGGCAAACTAAAAAGCAGACTGTGTGTAAATTGGGTCTTAAAAAAAAAGAGCAGAGAAAAGGACACAATTACTTACCATGTGTAGGGAACTTATTGAAAGACAAGTTGCTTGAAGGCCAGACGCGCCTTCTTGTTTAAAGTCTTCTAGAGCACTGGGCACCTAGTAAACTCAGAAAGAAATCTAGACCGCTGTGTTCTAGGGACCCCTGGCTGCGAAGCGCTGTGGAGGCCCCCTCCACTCATAGCAGGTGCCCAGAGGGTTCCTTCTGAACCCGTGGTTTGGCCCTGTTTCATTCCTGCAGAGTTTCATGCATGTCCCGCTGCATCCTCTGGAGTAGCATTCTTCCGGGCCCTGTGGTCTCTGGGTGGAGGGCACAGGGGAACCGCAACAGCATCAACAGGTGACAGCTAGATGTTCTAGCAGGGACCCCAGGTCAAGTTTCTCTTTCTTCAGGTCAAAGCCAAATTTTTTTCTATGTGCTGCAGAGACAAGTGGTGTGAATGTGTGTAAGAGAGAGAGTGTGTGCAAGAGATCGTGTAAAATAGTGTGTAAGAGAGTGTGAGTGTGTAAAAGTATAAGGCTTGTGTGTGTAAGAGAGTATGAGTAAGAGAGCATTGACTGTATAAGAGTGTTGCAAGAGATTTGTAAAATAGTGTGTGAGAGAATCTGAGTGTGTAAGAGAGCACTGAGTATGTAAGAGCATGTGTGTGCAAGAGTGTGTGAGAGAGGGAGGGAGGGAGGGAGGGATGGAGGAAGAGAGAGAGTGTGTGTGTTATTTTTGAGATAGGGTCCTTACTATTTAGCCCAATTGATGTTGAACTCTTAGTTCTCCTGCCTCACCTCCCAAGTGTTGGATTATAGGTATGCGCCATCACACCCAGCAAGACTGGCTTATATTAAAGAGAAGAAAGCTGTTGGTAATTCCCTTTGCATACTTGAAGTATGGGGAAAGCACATTCCATAGCTTTACAATACCACAAAACTCACTGTTTTTCAGGGACTGTCTCCGAGGCAGGTCTCTGGTGATCTGTTATCCCACATCCCCTTGAGTGTGGTAGCTACCGACGGGTAGTAGGTAGCCTGCTGGAGCGCTGCAGACCTGAGTACCATGGAGAAGCGCAGGCCTGCGGCTGCACCTCAGGGAGCTCTGCTGAGACAGCAGCCTCGCGTTACCTGTTCCGCAAAGCCCTTGGCCTCCCCTTCAGCATTCTCCAGGGACAGCTTTGTCTTTGTGTGTAGAGTCACTTGACATTTCTTCTTCTGACACGGAATAGGAATGTTTTCTCTACAGTGAGTGAGTGGTCCCATCTAGGTCAAATATGGGAGGGGAAGACACACTGCAAAAACACCAGCTGCTCTTTCTAGCTTTTTCAAAAAACACAGGCATTAGGGACACAGATTTTTATCAGTCTGGTTCGTTAGGAGGGAGATGGAGGATGGGAGGAGCAGGCTGTGCGTGGAGGAGGAAGGAGCTGCTGGGGTCTGGGGTCCAACGACAATAACAGCAACAAGAACAAAATCAAGACACCGTGTGCCAAGTACCGTGCTAACTTTCCCGGACAACCTCTCTACTTTGCTATTTTCATTTCCATCTTCAGAGTTGGAAGACAGAAATCAGACTCTGTGTGTGTGTGTGTGTGTGTGTGTGTGTGTGTGTGTGTGTGTGATCCCGAGGACTGAACCCAGGGCCTTGCACATGCTAAGCAAGCTGTCCATGGCTAGGCGACTCCTCTAGTCCAACATCACGTTCTCTTTCCTTTCTTTCCTCCTTTCTTTCTTCCCTCTTTCTGCGGTGTTAGACATTAATCTAGGAGCTCAGCACATCCTGGGCTTTTTCCCTCAGCTATGTCCCCGGCCCTCTTTTTTAGGTTAGGAAGAAAGGAAGGAAGGAAAGAAGGGAGGAAGGGAAGGAAAGAGGGAGGAAGGGAGGGAGGGAGGGAGGGAAGGAAGGAAGGAAGGAAGGAAGGAAGGGAGAGAGGAAGAAAAGAAAAATTGAGATAGGGTTTCCTTAAAATGCTCTAGTTGGTCTAGAACTTTCTACCTTCCTGCCCTAGCTTCGGGAGGTAGGGAGTTGGGCTCCCAGACCCTGCCTCGATGGTACACACATTTCTATATATACAAACTGGAATATAAATAGATTGGATGGGATCAGGAAGGGTATACAGTGCAGGAATAATAGTTACCTAAGGAGTGCTAACCAAAAGCGGCAGCTTTAGCTTTTATTACCTTGTGGAATGCCTGCCTTTTACATTGAAAATGTGTGACTATGTGTGAGCAATAAAAACCAAAACCAAAAACAAAAAAACTGGGCGGCACTAACGCCTGTGCACAAGGACCCCAGAGCTAAGCCCGATGGAACCTGGTAGCACAGACTGAGGATCCCACGTCTTTGGCCTCACAGCCTTTCAGGATCGGCAGAGTCTGCCTCCTGCTGGCGAAGGACCGACAGCTGACTCCCAAGAGCCACCGGCCACAGGCTGCCCCGCCCCTTGGGTTTCCTGGGGAGTAGGGCCAGCTCCTCTTCGCGGCCTTTGGGGAGCCCAAGGACGAGTGGCCAACCCTGCTGCCCGCCCACTGTCGCCAAGAGGATTCCTGGCCAATCAGACCCTGGTGATGCCATACTCCAGGGATGAGAGTGGCAAGAAATCAAGGTCAAGGCCCCGGACACAATGAAGCCATTGTCGGTCCCCAGTCAGTTGACTTTCAAGCAGCGGTTCCCCATGCACCACCCTCGCTCCTTCTCCCCCTCCTCTGCCCCGTGCCGGGAAGTCACCCAAACCTCCTGAGGGTTCATTAGCCTCTGCGCAAAGAGAGCGGGGCCCTGCATCCCACCCCAGGCGGCGGGGTCCAGCCGCCCTATGCAGTGTCCGCTCCAACCACCAGGTGGCGACAAAGCACCACATTCTGGGTAGGGGGTGCTGCAAGGAGCCAGCAGCTCAAACTCAGCGGGGCGTGGAGGGCGCTGTCCTTCCTGTTTTATCCCAGAGCAACGCTCTCCCCCCCCTTCCCCCACCACACACACGCGCGCACACACACAAAAGTCACGTTTGCCTTTTCTGTTGTCCTTTACTTCCGAAGTCACAGGGATCTCTAATCTCATGAGCTCTTTACTTCAGCAAATAGCAAAATGGCCGTGGGCTGCAGCATCCCCCACCTCCTACCCTAAGAGAAGAGACCGCGGGAAAGCTCCGGTTCTCTGCAGCCCGGGCAGGAGGCCCCGAGTGCTTTTCTGGTCCTGACTAATCAACCGGCTTATTCGCCTATTGCATGAATGCATAAATATTATCTATGGCCACTCACTCCTGTCTAAATTCTGTCTCTGATGTTCCCACTCAGGGTCTTCCTTCACATTGTGGTTTGTAATGGGACACGCGTTTGCCTAATTCCCACTGGTATGGGTTCTGTAAGAACGGGCTCTGGGAGCTCTTTTTGCTAAAGCGTCTAGTGTGCTGTAGGTATTCTGTAAATATTTGTCAACTTAATCAGCGAAAGATGCCCTACGGGGGGGGGGCAGCGAGGGTGAAGGCTGCGTTCCGGATTCAGAGAACTCAGCACGCATGAGCACCTCGGGAGTAGCCCACCAGACAGCACCTGGTCCAGACCGTCGTCACCTTGGACTGCGGGTCCCTGAGACGCAAAGACTTGGGATTAAGATATGCTAGCAGTGACCACGTGGTGGCTCAGTTTCACCTCCCCTCAAGGAATGTGTCCTAGAGAATTTTGCAGATAGAACCTTTCTTGATTCAGCCTCCTCAGGTGTGAAATGGAAACAGAAAAGCTATTTCTAAGGGCCATTGTGAGGTGCTGAAAGCACAGGACTAAACGACACTAGTCATTGTCTCTGGGGCTGCTTTTGGAGAAGGAACTGGCAATTCAGGCTGCAACCGTGGTGTTCAAGTAAGGGACTACGGACCGCGGAGGTGAGGGGTGGGTCTGGGGCGAGCAGGCGCGGTTCTGATCTCTGCTGTGAATTGGTCCCGGAAGCCCGGATGGTGACAAGTCTTGCCCTCTGCTTGAGGACAGAGCTATTTCTGCTGTAATCACTGCTAGGGCGGGGGGTGGGGGGGCATTTCCTGCAGCTTCTCCGCTTCCTTAGGACATGGGGCTTAGACAAGCCAGCCTCCATTTCCTTCCCTCATTTACCATTTGGGTCTCCTGTGCTGCGCAGTGCCATGGAGACCATGGTGAGCAGAGCCACGGCGAGCCTGATCACAAAAATCGGACAGCATGCGGGTAGGGTAATGAGCCAGGCCGAAAAGGAGGGGTAGTTTTAACTGCATTAGGGAGCAGAGTCTGTTCTCGGGATATTCCCTGAGGGAGCGAGATGAGAGCTGCTGAGGAAGAAGGGCTATCCAAGGAAAGTCCTTCCTGGGAACCACTCGATGACCCAGTAGAACTCGGCTTTCTTGGGCCTGGTGAGTGGCCATACGGGAGGAGGCAAAAGCAAACACACCAGAGGATGCAGGCTGCTAAGAAGGCATTGCCCTTGCTGTGAGTCCTGCACACACCCACAGGATGTCAGGCCCCAGCTGGGCCCTGGGGAAGGAGTAGGGACTTTTGGGGAGGCGGCCAGGAAAAACTTATCACAGGTTCAAAAGGCAGGGGTAGGAGGCTGAGCTTGGCACTTCTGGTTGTTACTGAGGGGGTAGGGAACCACCCAATTGTGGGTATCCATCTACAGCAGCCAGAAGCACAGAGGGGTAGCCAACATCACAGTGAATCAGAGTCAGGAGAGAGGGTAAGTATCCCAGCTCTGCAGCTTGCAACTTAACCCCAAGCCTTGTTTCCTAGTCTATAAGGTGGGGTAGTTAGTAGCCCTGATCTCAGAGTTTGTGGGTGCAGATGCATGTGCAAATGAGTGTGCAAGGGGGTCAAAGGTTGGTGCTGTGCCTTCTTCAATTACTCTCCATTTTCTTTTTTGTCTTTTTTTTCTTTTTCTCTGCTTCGGATTACGGGCAGGTACTGCCACACCAGGAATTGTGTGTGTGTGTGCTGGACATTGAATCCAGTTCCTCATGCTTGTGTTCCAAGCATTAGACAGACTGAGGTGTCTCCCCAGCCCACAGACTAGTTTTAGGGTTTAGTGAGATGATACATGAGCTATCTTGGTGTGTGGTGGCATCTGAGGAGCAGCATTGTACATTTTTAATGAGCACTTTGAAAAACACGTATGTGTGCCTGTGTGCACATGCATGCGGGCGCTCTTGCAGATCAGAGGCTTCGGAACTGGAGTTGTGCGTTGTTTGGTGTGGATGCGGGGAGCAAGCGCAGTACGCACTCCCGATCCCCATAGTCTGCACTTTTGCCACAATTTTTTGCCAGTTCAGAATCCCAGAAAGGCTTAGAGTCCCACAACTAAAAGCAGAGGCGTTGAGATTTGAACCCAAATTCCTCTGGCTCTAAAAGCTGGACTTCTTTTGGGAGGTGAGGGTGCATCAGTGGTTGACTGGAAAGAAACCGAGTTCTATTTTTGTGGATGCTACCGATGGGTACAGATCTAGAGAGAAGGGTGGAACGTTCCAGTCTCTTTTTCTCAAGGGTTCTAGGAAGGACAGAGAGAGAAGCACTGGGCCAGGCAGACAGCGAGCCCCAGGGCTGGGAGCTGTGCTGGTGGGATCCTAGATACTTGAGCACCCTCTTTGCCACCTTGAGCTGCAAATCCCCCCCCCCCCATTGCAACTCCAGGAGTTTTGGTCTGGGGCCCTTCCTCCCCACTTCTGAATGCAGTCATCCCAACTAACAAAAGCGGCTATGGCTACTCTGACACGCCCCCGTGTCCTGTGCCGCTGCCCAGGCTGTGCCCAGTCCATGGGCCAAGTTGAGCTCAGCTTCTTCTCATGTGCCAGGACATGCTGACTTGACGCCTGCCCACCCCCCATGAAAACCTGAGGCTCTCGTTTTTTGAGATACTAGAATTAAAGAGCCCTGGGGAAGAGGATGAGGGTGTGGGAACAGTAGACTCCTCCTGAACCCAGTTTTCTCTCTAGTTCTGAACAGCCAGTCCTGGGCTGGTGAAGGACAGGTATCTTGCAGAGCCAGAACGATGCCCTGCCCGATGCCCGGGAAGCCTTGGTTTGGTGGTGGGGGGAGGGGGTAATGCTGGTCTGCTGGGGGAAGGGCTTGAGCGACCATGTAGGTTTTGGAGTCAGGTAGGCCAAATTTCAATCTTGCTTCTGTCTCCTATAAGGTATATGATCTTGGGGGAACACTTCACTTCCTGAGCCTTGGGATTACCCCCCATCTGTAAAACAGGACCAAACTCTCATGAGGGTTGTGAAGGATTTAAAAAAAAAAAAAAGTAATGAATGAAAAATTGGAGACCAATGTCGGTAGTGGCAAGAATTAGTAACTGATATCCTGGGATGATGTCACTGAACTGGCTGCTGTTGGAGAAGGCTCCGGGATGGGCGTCTGGGGAGCCCTCTGGGGAGCCGGTGGTGAAGGAGTGTCCTGATCTAGGTTTGTAGTAGCTGACAGCGCATTTTGGGCATCACACCGGAAGCTTAGAAATCTTCGGAATCACTTTCCTAACTCCTGCTACAGACCTCCAGAAAGCAAGGTGTCCTGGCTGGCCTCAGTGGTTAGGGGACTGTAACTTTGTCTCCACCAGTGCCAGAGTCTCGCTTCCCTGTACCG